ACCCCTGCATTACATGTTTTGAGGGTGACCAGAAAACAGCCCAGACTGCATTGTTATATCATTTCAGTCCCACTTTAACTCGTCTAGGATCTGCAGTTTGGCAAGACAGACTTGGAAGGTGATGGGGTTTCCATTGGACTTAGTGAGCTTGGATAACTATTGTGCCAGGTCTTCGTTGTGCATTCCTACACTGACAGAGAGCTGGACTAGATTATCTTTGGGGCTCCCTTTCCAACCAGAGAGGATGGTGACTTGACAGCAGCTTTCCTTCTCAGTGTGTTGGAGTAATATTTCCCAGCCTGGTTGACACGTTGAAGTCCATACAATCTGAATAATTCAAGGTTGAGAAATACGGACCTACAGACTGTGGATTAATTCTCCTCTTTTACAACCTTCACATTGTAAAAGCAAATTAATCCAAAATTAAACGAGACTCTCAGCAGCACACATCAGAAAGGATTCTTTGGAGATGTCCTTTCTGTCTCAGACTGTGGCTCTCGATCTGTTTGAGTGGAAGATCTATGAGATTGCAGTTAAACACATATAGATGATCCTAGATTAGATAAAGACTGTTCAGAAGAAGACAAACAAAACTTGTTCCTTGGTTGCTGTAGGTTTTTCGGGCTGTCTGGCTATGTTCCAGAAGCATTCTCTCCTGACGTTTCGCCTGCATCTGTAGCAAGCATCCTCAGAGGTTGTGAAGCCTCACAACCTCTGAGGATGCTTGCTACAGATGCAGGCAAAACGTCAGGAGATAATACTTCTGGAACATGGCAACACAGCCCAAAAAACCTACAACAACCCAGTGATTCTGGCCATGAAAGCCTTTGACAATAGTAAAACTTGTTCCTACTTTAACATTTAAGCTCTGTAAGAAGCCTGATGCCATCTAGTGGAGAGGGACCCAAAGCAGTGCTAATTCCCTGGCATTTTTAGCATGATACATACACAACCTGAAATAGCAATATGACCTTAAAAGGTGGAACAACTCCTTCTTGCAGRTTAAACACACCATCTCCCTTTTCCTTACAAGCACAAGCAGAAGTGTGCATTTCCCCACAAAAGTCATGTAGGGATTTTTCCGGCAAGCCAGATATTGATTATACAGGACTCCCACAAAAGTGGGAACATGACAAATATCTTTATCTGTGTGTACAAGGCGGAAGTGAGGTCCCTTCCAATGCCATGAGCTTATTGGGACATGGGGCAAGAATAATGGCACCTGGTGATTCAGCGCAGCGGTTTCTGAGCTCATCTCAATACCTTTAAAGGAAAGCCTCATTGAGGAAAAGAGCCCCATAATCCCCAGACACACCTTTCCTGGGTCATCAAGGGAGAGGCTGTGAACACAGAGCAAGCAAATCATAGATGTCTCATAACAGTGTGGGCCAGAAATGGACTTTTGACTGTGCAGATCAACCAACAATCCTTGTGTGGCTATAAAGTGGGAGGATTATTAACACGCTGCTCTTTGGAACACACCAAGGGTTGGGCCGGTGCCACTTTCCTCATAACAATGTTATCGTGGAGCTGGTAGCTTCCACCTGACTTAGTCAAACACTGAGTTGCAATGCATATCTTTACATTTCTCACGGCTGCCGAGGATCAGCTCATAAAGCAGAAAGCTAAAGGATTCTTGCCACAATATCCCTGTTTGTGGAATCAGCTGAGATATTCATAATGATGCCAGTTTCCCTTCTTGCCCCAAACAGAATGCAGTTCTATGAGGGTTATCCGGAAAGTAAGATTACAAGATTTTTATTAAATACAAAGAATGAATATATTTTAATAAAACTTATATGGATTGTAGTATAGGTTTACATTATCTTCCCACATAATCACCATTCAGTTCAATACATTTTGTCATCCGTGAGATGAGTTTTTGATGCCTGTGTCATAGAAGTTTTCCTCCACCTTTTTCAGCCAGTTCATCACTTCAATTTTCACCTCGTCATCGGAAAAGTGTTTTCCACCCAGGTGTTCCTTCAATTTAGTGAACAGATGATAGTCGCTGGATGTGAGATCAGGGCTGTGAAAGGGGTGGCTTAAAACATCCCAACCAAATGAAGTCAACAGCTCTTGTCTTGCATGCGTGGTGTGCTGATGCGCATTGTCATGAAGGAGACAGACTCCTGCCATCAGCATCCCACGACGTTTGTTTTGAATGGCTTTGCGAAGTTTCTTCATGGTCGCACAATATATTCCGTACCCATTTTGACACATGCTGTCTTGACATTACGTCCTCTTCATAAACTGAAATGATTTCACGATGAATCGCAGCGGTGTTCATGCCCTTAGAATGAACTGGCTACCAATCAGTTTCCGAGCACAATTCAAAGTGCTGGTTTTAACCTTTAAAGCCTGAAACGATTCTGGCCCAGACTACCTGTCCGAAGGTATCTCCTGCCATGAACCATCAAGAAGTTTAAGATCTTCAGGAGAGGCTCTGCTCTCGATCCCACCACTATCGCAAATACGGTTGATGGGGATGAGAGACAGGGCCTTCTCAGCAGTGGCCCCCCGCCTATGGAACACCCTCCCTAGAGATATCAGATTGGCCACCTCACTCTTGTCTTTTAGAAGGAAAATCAAGACCTGGTTATGGGACAAAGCATTTGATCAGTCAGCAGCAAGTGGAAGAAGACCACACAACTTATGGCAATGAATTGACCCAGACTGGTTTTGGGATTTCAATTTTAATGGATGTGTCTTAATTAATTGTTTTAATTGTTGTTTTAATTGTTAATATTTTGATTGTACTGTGGTTGTTTTTATGATGCTAGCATCATATGTTAGGCTTCCCTGAGTCCCCTTCGGGGGGAGAAGGGTGGGGTATAAATATAGGAAATAAATAGGTAACATATTACAGCGTGAACTTCGCACTTGGAGGGAAACGGAATAAGGGCGCTCATCTCTAACCTTCACAATACCAGTCGATGAGCTACTGATGACTGGCACTGCTCGTTCAATTCCGCTAGTTTCCTGCTACATGGCAGTGATACCAACTTCCCCTGTGAAAATTCCCCACGAGAGCTGCATGTCTTTTAGCCTTACTTTTCGGATAACCCTCATAGGTGGAAAAATGGCGCAGGGAAAGGCACAAGGAGTCCTGGGACAAGACCCGACCAAATCAAACCTGGATTACAACCTAAATTACCAGACACTTGAAGGCTGGCACTCCATTATGGACACCATTTTCCTTTATGAATGACCTTTTTGAGGTGCTGCTGAAATTGGTATTCTCTTCTGTCCTCCGCAACAACCAAAGCCTTCCTTCCTTCCTAGACTTAAGGCACATTCTCTGAGATTAACTGGGACTACAGGCATTCCTCAAGTTACAAACATCCAATCTACGAATGACTCCTTGTTAAGAACGGAGGTGAGACCACAGGAAATAAAAAAAATCTACCTCTCGGAAGGGAAATTCACTCCTGGAAGAGTTAACATGGGGAAAAGGTGTCTCAACTGAAGCTTTATCGCCAATCCTTGTTTCTACAACAAGATGAATTTTCCAAAATCCAATTCTCCCAGGGACAGAAAGTGAGGTGGAATCTTCTGAACAGGGCCACAGATAGCAAAACAACACTTCAGAGGTGTTCACCCTTCCCTAGGCTATCCAAAGCTAAAAAATATGCATTTTGGCTGGAGTTACACTTTAAATTTGACTTGCATACAATTCAATTTAAGAACAAATCTACAGAATCCATCTTGTTCGTTCAGTCACTTCTGACTCTTCAGGACCTCCTGGACCAGCCCAGGCCACAGCTCTCTGTCAGCCGTGGCCACTCCCAGCTCCTTCAAGGTCAAGCCAGTCACTTCAAGGATACTATCCATCTATCTTGTCCTTGGTCAGCCCCTCTTCCTTTTTCCTTCCATTTTCCCCAGCATTATTCTTTTCTCCAAGCTTTCTTGTCTTCTCATTATGTGGCCAAAGTACTTTAACTTTGCCTCTAATATCCTTCCCTCCAGTGAGCAGTCGGGCTTTATTTCCTGAAGTATGGACTGGTTGGATCTTCTTGCGGTCCAAGGCACTCTCAGGCTTTTCCTCCAACACCACAGTTCAAAATCATCTCTCTTCCTTCACTCAGACTTCCTTATGGTCCAATTCTTGCATCCATAGGTTACTACAGGGAATACCATTGCTTTAACTATGTGGATCTTCATTGCCAGTGTGATGTCTCTACATGGGGACTGACTGTATAATCTAAGTAAGCCACAGCGGCAAGATTCAAGCTTGCTTTTCATTTAAAGGAAGGGCGACCTGGAAGTCTTTCATTCATAGGGTTGTCATGGGTCAAAGTCTACTTGACATTGGTCAACAACAACATAAATGTACGTGGCATTTTATCCCCAACTTTTCCTTGTTTCTTTGATATGTCCATTACATCACCCATACTGAAATATTCCTCCACTGAAAACATGGGCAGGAACTCTTGCCAGAGGAAGAATTCAAGTCGGGTGCATAGAACTGTACAGCTCTTCAGAACAAAATAGAATTAACATTTGAGGTGGGGGTTTTGTTCCAAGAAAGAGACCATTTCCAGTTAATTGTCACAAACACAAATATGAATTTTGTTTAAAAAAGCAAAAAAGAAGCACTACAAGGTGATAAACTGCTTCCGCAACATGGGCACGTATAGATTTGTTTGATAATATTGCAGGAAAGTACCATCACAACTCTTAAAAACAAAAGCTTAATAGAAATATATAAAAGAAGTGTCCCATAAACAGCCCTTTGCAGAGAAAAGGAAGCCAAGAGGCTCTTCTGTATAAAAAGAGGGTATGTGTTACATATGTGGCACCACATATGTTTCAAAAAGCATTTGAAACAATTTTATATGTTCACAACATAGGATTCTGTTACCATTTTTACTGTCTCTCTACGCTTCTGACTCGTGATATTGATAAAGTCCTTTAGCTGTAGTCTGAATTTAATCTATTTGAATAATTTATTAACTTGTTTTACTTGTCCATACTTCATTTAAGTTTTTTTTTAAAAAAAATATCAGGAGCGACTTGAGAAACTGCAAGTCGCTTCTGGTGTGAGAGAACTGGCCGTCTGCAAGGACACCCAGGGGACACCTGGATGTTTTGATGTTTTATCATTCTTGTGGGAGACTTCTCTCATGTCCCCTCATGGGGAGCTGGAGCTGACAGAGGGAGCTCATCCACGCTCTCCCCAGACTCGAACCTCCAACCTGTGTGTCTTCAGTTCTGCCGGCACAAGGGTTTAACCCATTGTGCCATTGGGGGCTCCTACTGGTGTGATGTCCTGGGATCCTTGGATATCCCAGGACATCATACAAGGGGAAAGGGATAGAAAAATATTGTAATAATTCAATAATATATAAGTCACTACAATCCCTGACACTGGTTTAATGTCCATCAGAAGTAGGCCAGAAAAAAATAGACCTGGAGTACAGATTTCCAGGAAGAGATAATTGCCTTATTGGAGATGTTTTGGGCAAGTAGTCAGAGTTGAGAAAGGATGGGCCTTTATCTAATCTGTAACGATGCCCTAATTATGAACAACTCCTCCATTACAACTGGAATTATGTTTCCATCAGATCAGAGGGGATGAGCAAGGAAATGCTCATCAAGACTGGATTTTAGCTAGCAATAATAAAAGACAGGCAAGACGCTCTATCAGAATCTGCCCTTATTATAACGGGCGTTTACATCTGGCTCCGTGCAGATATGTTGGTGGGGAGATGAGATGCTTGCACTTGGACCCTCCGGTCTATTCCTGGGGGATGGCACAGGTGGTGTAGGGCTTCGGCCGCCGGGTGAAGGCCGGCTCAAAAGTGAGGTCCAAGTCTGCCTCGGTCATCCCGGGAGGAGGTCGGAAGGTGAACTTCTGGAGCAGCCCCACAAAGAAAATGAAGATCTCCATCCGGGCCAAGCTCTCCCCAGCACAATTCCTTCGGCCTGCAGGGACCACAAAATTGTTGGAACTCAACCACATCCTGCACAAGTTTATAGTCCTCATCAAGGAAATAGGTAGGCAGCTGAGTTAGTTGGCAAAAAAAGCTCTTCCCCATTTTCTCTGCCTCTCTCTTTTTCTCTCCTGTGACTTCCTGTTTGTTAGAATGATATTTCTGAGGGACATCCCTCTATTTATTCAGTTTCCAGATCCTACGGCAAACCTCTACGTCCTCCATTTTGTGCTCCTATGAGCATGGAGAGAGACAGGATGTCTCCAGAGAGAGAGAGAGATGGATAGCTAGCCCCTAACTTTCCAATATAGATTTGTAGTTCTTTCAGTAAAATATTTTGTAACTTTTCAAGTTTGACTGTGCTCTTTAATTGCTGAAGCTTATTTGCTCTACTGCAGTGGTTCCCAACCTGTGGTCCATGGACCACCAGTGGTCCACAAGAACACAAATATGGTCTGCGACCTCACCATTACTACACTGTTGCCTCGAAACCATGCGGACATGAGAGCGACTGCTCTTGTGAAACCCTCTTATAGTGCTAACTGGGATGTCAGGAGGGGAGAAGCTGGCTACCCATGAAAGATTAGTACTACCACATCTGCTCTTGATGGTTTTCTGTGGGCAAGCAGATGGTGACTATTGGATAGCATATATTCTGTATCAGAAACTAGAGCTGATGTGGTCTATCCAATGCAATTTTCTGAATCAGCACCCCAAATATCCAAACAGAATCTAAAGTTCACAAAAATGGATTCGTAACCCTTTTGGTACTAATGTTGGAGAGTGGCCCCTGGTCAAAGTGGTCCCTGGTCAAAAAAAAAGGTTGGGAAACAGTGCTCTACTGCCATGCGCTAAAAGATTCTGATCTGCTCAAACTCTCTCTCCAAACATTTGGAGACTGAAGACAAACGTTATGGGAAGGTGAGGAGAGCAATACAATTCCTAGCTTTGTTCTAGAGCAGTGGTTCTGCTTACCTATTGAGAAAGGAACAAAGGCTTCTTTCGCCACAAAGTTCCCTGCAGCATCCAGAAAGTGGTTGGGGTTAAACTTGTGCGGGGTTTCCCACTGTGTTTCGTCATAAAGCACTGACGTGAGAGAAGGGATCACCATCGTGCCCTAAAAGACGGACAGAAGACTGAGGTCACAAGGTGGGAAAAGCCGGTACAAAAAGAAAGAAATTGGGTTCTTTAAAAGACTAGAGCTCCCATATTCCCTTGAGCCAATGACCATGATGGCTGAGGGATCCAGGGCATTGTAGATTCACAAAAATGTAATTTCTTCAAACTATGATTTCCACTTTCCACAATCCTTAAGACAGGAAGGGGAGAGAGCGGATGAGCTCCCTCTATCAGCTCCAGCTCCTCATGCCCCTGGGCAACGTCCTTGTAGATGGTCAGTTCTCTCACACCAGAAACTACTTGCAGTTTCTCAAGTCGCTTCTGACATGACAAAAAATAATTCAGAAAAATAATATTTTTTCAGCTTGGGGGTGGGCAGAACACAGTTTTTTAATCATGTAAGGAGCAACTTGAGAACATATTGCAAGTAACTTCTGGTGTGAGAGCATTGGCTGTCTACAGAGACATTGCCCAGGGGATGCCTGGATGTGTTACCATTCTTCTGGGAGGCTTCTCTCATGTCCCCGCAAGCTAGAGCTGACAGCTCAACCCATCTCGAACAAGCAACCTTCAGGTCAGCAACCCAACCTTCAGGTCAGCAGTCCAGCTTGCAAAAGGGTTTAACCCATTGCACTACCGTGACTCATAACAGAACACATTTAAATACCTCTATAAAATCACATATTAAAGCAACCACAAAAGCATATGGGTATGATAACATATTAAAATTCCTGAGACAAAAACACAGTAAACATAGGAGTGTTGTAGGTTTTTCAGGCTGTATGTTCCAGATGCATTCTCTCCTGATGTTTCGCCTGCATCTGTGGCAAGCATCCTCAGAGACTGTGAGGTTTTGGGAGAGAATGCTTCTAGAACATGGCCAAACAGCCCGAAAAACCTACAACAACCCAGTGATTCCAGCCATGAAAGCCTTCAACAATATAGTAAACAGAAATATATGAAATCGAAACAATGGCATTCTGCTATATTAACCTGGCTCAGCTCAACGATCTTGGAGGAGGCCCTTCTTTTTGTCCCACTACCTTCTCCACGTTGTTTGCTGTGTACAAGGGAGACAGGGCCTTCTTGGTGGCTTCACTTTGGAACTTGCTCTCTAGAGTGCTTATTGGTACTTGAAATGCTTCTATAGGTATATATTCAAGACACTTGTACCTTGGGAATGACGTAGCCTCGGAAGTGCGTGTCCACAGCGGTGCAGCGCGGGAACTGTAGAACAACGGAAGAGAACCTCTGAACCTCATGGATCACGGCCAAGGTGAAGGGCATGCGCTTCCTGTCTTCGTAGGTAGGGACGCGCTCTGAGCCAAGGACCCTCTTGACTTCCTCCTGCACCTTCCCTGCAACAGGAATCCTTTGGCAATGAGGGCTTTGAAAAGAAAGCCAAGCCTAACATCCTCCAACCCCTTTATGTAAACATGGGTCTGCATGTATTCATAGTACAATGGTGCAAATAATAAAACAATAATAATTGAAAAGATTTCTGCTGTGAGTTATTTAACTAGATAGCTAGGCCCTGCTAACCTTCCTACCTAGTATGTAGTCCGTTGAATAAAGACTTTTATAATTTTTAAAGACTGAATCTGCTCCTGTATTGCTTCAGCTCAGTTGCTCTACTGCTTGCACTAAAAGCTTCAGTTCTGCTGAACTGCTGTTACTGACGTTCTTGCTGCTTTAGTTTGGTAGGTTTGAATGTCTTCGTTTTGGAAATAACTCCTCAACAAACTCGCCTCAGGAGAAAAAAATAAGCTTACGTTGAATCTCAGAGTATTTCATCATCATCAGAATGGCCCATTGCATTGTGGTGGCTGTGGTCTCTGTCCCAGCCATGACGAGGTCAAGGATTGATGCTGTTATGTTGGCATCATAGAACATTTTCTTGGATTCGCTTTTTTCCTAAGATGAAGAAACAGAAGATGCAAACATTGCCATGACGGTAGTCTGGATTTCTTCAAAATGGCAAAGAACATCAAAGCATAATAGAATGACAAGAGGATGAAGTACTTGCTAGTGAAAACTACCCTAAAATATAGCAGAGCATCCTCAAATCAAACAGGATACAAAAAGTTGAGCATCAGCTCACTAGCGAGCAGAGCGTGAAGTGCTGTTGTTTGTGGCTGTAAAGATTTCAGAGCTTAGGAAGCAAACATGTGAAGTCCAATCTTAAAAAAACACACATAAAAGGTTTATTTACAACTAGCTGTCCCCTGCCACGTGTTGCTGTGGCCCAGTCTGGTGATCTGGAAAATAAAGTAATGAGAAAGTGTTGTTTTCTAATATATGTAATTTCTTTCTGCTTGTGGGTAAACAGTATTTTATTACGTTTTCTTGCCCTGGTGAAGGGAGTTGGACTAGATGGCCTTAAGTATTTTCTATTGGTCATGGGGGTTCTGTGTGGGAAGTTTGCCCCAATTCTATCATTCATGGGCTTCAGAATGCTCTTTGATTCTAGGTGAACTATAAATCCCAGTAACTACAACTCCCAAATGTCAAGGTCTATTTCCCCCAAGCTCCATCTGTGTTCCTAGTTGGGCATATGCAATATTCGTGCCAAGTTTGGTCCAGATCCATCATTGTTTGAGTCCACACTGCTCTCTGGATGTAGGTGTACTACAACTCTCAAACTCAAGGTCAATGGCCACCAAACCTGTGTAGTGTTTTCTGTTGGTCATGGGAGTCCTGTGTGTCACCTTTGGTTCAATTCCATCATTGGTGGAGTTCAGAATGCTCTTTGATTGTAGGTGAACTATAAATCCCAAGAACTACAACTCCCAAATGACAAAATCAATTTTTTTGAGTGAAGGACATACATTGGGTTGTTAGGTGTATGCTGTCCAAATTTGGTGTCAATTCGCCCACTGGTTTTTGAGTTCTGTTAATCCCACAAACGAACATTACATTTTATTTATATAGATAATAAGAAATAACTGTATTTCTTAATAATCAAGAACTTATTTATTTATTTCATATCAAAAGCATTGAATAAATTAGTATAAAACTAATAAAAATAGAAGGATCGGGTTTTTTTTTTTTTACCAAAAACGGGCAACAGCAATGGCATTCTCTGTAGCCTCCAACAATTCTTCCTCTGTTCATGAGGCAGGGCATAGTGGACAAGCAAACAGATGCGGAGTTGTCTGTTCTGCTCCACAGTCATACAAGGTGTGAGATTGTTTTAGGTAGTGCCATTTTGCCAGGTTGTCTTTTGATCTGCCCATTCTGCTTCTGTGTCTGAGCTACCCTAACACCCATCTCTTCTAAGTTTTCAAGAGAGGGGAAAACTCAGTCATTACATCTCTCCCGAAACCCAATCAGAGAGAGATCTCAAAGAACACAGCAAATTCAGTAGTAGAAAAATATCCATTTTAAACAAGGGCTACCCTTAGTCTATTCTAAACTAGCTAAACTGTTCCTCATTGAGGACTTGGGACTTGAGCAGTGTGGGGTTGAATTCCAACAGTACTAACTGGACGACACTAAAAAAATGTACTTTTGCCTGAGCCTACCGTTAAAATTCTGTTCCCTATTTACCTCTCGTTAAAGTTTTGACTAGCAATTCTTTCTCTATCTCATACAAACTTGCTGAATTCAGCTTGGGACGTGGTCTACCTGCCCTGCAGGACTCATTAGGATGCATCCAAAATGGTAACTATAAACAGCACAGGATCCTTCCACACAGCCCTATATCCCAGAATATCAAGGCAGAAAATCCCACAATATCTGCTTTGAACTGGTTTATCTGAGTCCATACTCAGATATTCTGGGATATAGGGCTGTGTGGAAGAGCTCCCAGATGCAAGAATATACCTCTTCCTTCTGTCTGAACAGAAGTCCATCAATGTAGCTCCCCATGGAGTTCTCACTGACACTTTGCTTGGCGACCTGGATGTATTTGTGCAGAATGGCATTGGTTTCCCCAATTTTCTTCAATATCATCTTGTGTGGTTTCAGTAGGAATCCAAGGTATGGGAAGGCGTTGAAAACCTAGAAAAGGAAACGGGGAAATATACCCAAGGTAAATGGACATATAAGGTAAAGAAGAGTTAGTACTGACATGGAGTTCTTGCCAGAATGGCATTTGAATCCAGTTGCACAGAGCAGGACTGAAAGAACCTGACGGTCAATACCACCTTTTACTTCTTCCAGTAGTGTTTCAAGGATTTTAATGCAAGGATAGTCTAAATGATATGGAGCCAAGACAAACTATTGGAAGGACCACCTACGTGCAAAAACGGCTTTCCCAAAAGGGTCATCACTTCGTCAATGAGTCCCAGGAAAGTGACAAAGGTCGGGTCAGCATAGTCAAACCTGTCTCCAAACAGGACAATGAAGGTGATGTTTGTTGGAGCACCAATGAAAGCCTTTAATGGAAACTGTTCACCTAGAAATAAGAAAGGGAACAACAAAAGTGGTATTTGATGGAATTCTTGTTTTGTGGGTCCAAGTTGTTTCTGATTTACAGCAGGGTTTTGCTGGCAATATTTCTTCAAAAAGTATCTAGAATCATAGAGTTGGAAGAGACCCCAAGGGCCATCCACTCCAACCCCTTCTATCAGGCAGGAAGACACCATCTGATCCCTCCCGAAACATGGCCATCCAGCCATAGACAGGATAGACAGGCAGAAATGAATAAGATATATTGTAGAGTTCTAGAGCTGGGAGAGATCCCAAGGGCCATCCAGTCCAACTCCCTTCTATCAGACAGGAAGACACACTCTGATTCCTTCTGACACATGGACATCCAGCCATAGATAGGATAGTCAGACAGATATGAATAAGATATACTGTAGAGTTCTAGAGCTGGGAGACACCCCAAGGGTCATCCAGTCCAACCCCTTCTGCCAGGCAGGAAGACACAGTCTAAGGATTCCTGACAGATGGCCATCCAGCTATCGATAGACAATCATGGATATGATAGTTATGATCACGAGAGGGAGATAGATAGATAGATAGATAGATAGATAGATAGATAGATAGATAGATGACTGAGAGAGGTAGATATGAAAGATATATAATAGAATCCTAGAGATGGAAGAGACCTCAAGGGTCATCCAGTCCAGTTCCCTGCCAGGCAGCTTCCTCTAAGGCTGAGACAGTGTGACCTGCCCAGGGTTACCAAGTGGTGAAATGAGGATTGGAACCCCAGACTCTGATGTCCAGCACTCAAACGACTACATCACATCAGTGTTTATTTTTAAAAGGTGTTATTGGCAGGATATATTCAGACATTATTACCATTATCTTCTTCTAAGAAACCAAGTTTGGTTCTGAATCCAAGGCTTAAGTGTGGACTCAAAGTTAATCCCAGAGTCCTAATCCACTGCCAAAAGCATTGCACTGTTTATTTATTTATTAAGAGCATTTCTATCCTGTACTTCTCGCCTCCAAAGAGGAACTCAGGACAGCTACCAACAGGCACCATTCGGTGCCAAACAATAAAACAAACATAATATACAATTAAACTGCAGTAAAAACTATTATGGATACATTAAAGTAGTTCAAACAACAATGGAGTTTTATTGGATATACTTCCTCGAAGGAAGTTTGCCACTGCTTTCCTCTGAAGCCAAGAGAATGTGGCTTTTTCCTGAGGAGATTCGACCACAACTAATGCCTTTGACACAAATGGCGTGATGACGGACAGCATAAGAACTGCATCACCTTTATGAGAGCTGATCATCTCAATCAGGAAGTGGAGCTCTTCCTGAATCTTCCTCTCCATTAGGTTCTTCCCCATCCCGAGCTCCCGCATGCAGGCCAAGGTGAAGCGGCGGATGGTTTTCCACAAATCCCCATCAGAAAAGAATATGCCTGAGGAACGCATCAACACATGCAATAAGCAATGATAATCAACCCCTTACCACTTTCCCATGGTGATGTACAAATAATTGACCCATTAAAACTAATTAAAGCTCAACCTAGCCCTGACACATTCCATCCTTAGTTAAAAGCTTTCTGAAATAGGAATGACTTTATCCATTTCAGAAACTCAGTAGAGACGGGGCAGCTCTTAGTTCTTCCAGAAGGGAGTTCCAAAGTGCCGGTGCCTGTACTGAGGAGTCTACCCTGGTCCTGCTGAAGCGCATCTTAGAAAGGGTCTGTTCCGTCTTCCAGGAGCTTGGTTTGCGTTGTCCCTTAGTTGCTTGAAATAGCATCCCTTTGTATTTCCCTCAGGGTTGCTACAGTCTTAGCAGCACCCTAATAGTTAAACATTAACAGAGGTTGGAAGCCAGCCTGCAAGCCTTTTGCAGCTATTGGTTTAAAAAAGTATCCTTTTGGTCTAGAGACCGCCCTTTTTCCTGGGGATGAGATCTCCATTTTGGAAAAGCTCTCCTGCTTTTTTTAGTATAGAAAAAGCCTCAGATGTGCTGGTGGCCAAGCTAGGTAGCTCGGACAAGCCATTGTGAGTACGGTTGAGGTTAAGGTTACCCTCTTGCCTTTGAAACTGGTGCTGAGCTCAGATAGAGAAAGACTTGCTCTTTCTAAAGGACCTTAGCTCAGCTCTGGGGCAGGGAATATCTCAGGATTTCTCTGCCACTGAGAGAGGCTCCATTACTTCATCTCCAAAACTAATCTTGAGCTTACATAGGGGAAGACCTGCTCTTTCTGAAAGATAACAGCTCAGGGTTAGGGTAAAAGATCCCAGGATTTTTCTACCATTGGGGAAAAGTTAACTCGGTAACTGAAGGAAAAAGGAAAGAAAGAACATCTACATGGTTTCCCAAATTGACTGTTTGTGTTTGTAACTTCATCAAGCTGTGCCAATTTGGTCACGGACTTTGAAAAATAAATGCTCTGTTGATGTTCAAATCTGGACTGGCCTCAGTTGCTTGAGTTTCTAAGAAAGGCACCCGCGGTTCACCCAGATAAAGAGAGAAGCACATCTTAGTTTTAACTTGATAGTGTCTGGGTGCGACGGCACAGGGTCCTAGTGGAGATAGGGGTCTCCCCGCTTGACTTCAACACTTGCCCTGGTAAATATAGGGGGACACGGTGTTCCAGGTAGTCTGGGCTGAAGCCGTATAGGGCTTTATAAGTAAGAACCAGCACCTTGAATTGAGCCCGGAAACAAAGCTGTCTCAGGAACAATGTGGTATGCTCCCTGAGACCAGGTCCAGTTAAAAGTCTGGCTGTAGATCTTTGAACCAACTGTAGTTTCCAAACACTTTCCAACTGTAGTTTCCAAACACTTGACCTACATAGAGGACATTGCAATAGTCCAATCTTGATGCAAACACTGTGTACCACCATGGCCAGGTCTGATCTCTCCAGGAACGGGCACAACTGGAGCACAAGCTTTAACTACGCGAAGGCTGACCTAGATGCTGCCACCGCCTGGGCCTCCAGGTTTAAGGCAGAGTCCAGGACGACCCCCAAACTGCGAACCTGAGATTTCAGGAGTAGTGTAACCCCATCCAGCTCAGGCTGTAACCCCATTTCTGGATCAATCTTCCGCAAGACCAGCAGTCCCTCCATCTTGTCTGGATTAAGTTTCAGCTTGTTCACCCTCATCCAGTCCATCTCTGCCTACAAACAAAAGGTTCAGGTGCAGAACTGCTTCCTTGGCATCAGGTGAAAAGGAGTAGTAGAGTTGGATATCATCCACATACAGATGATACCGAACCCCGAACTCTGGATGATCTCTCCCAGCAGCTTCAGATAGATGTTAAATAACATCGGGGATAGTAATGAGCCCTGCAGGACCCCACAGCTCAGTGGCCAGGACTCTCCCAAGTTAAACAACACAACCTGGAAAACACTGTCATAAGATGACACGAAAATAGCAGAAGCAACATAGAAACAGTAAAATAAATGACAGCATGACAGCAAAGCTGGGAAAGTTGGGAGGGAAACATGCTCACACTCTCTCCCTTGGCTTCTTTTAATGACCCTCTATAGCACAGTTGAAGCACAATCCCAAGAGAGGACCAGGTCCATGCTGCCGTTACCATTTCCATGTTGGATGTGGTAGAAGATGGGGATGTAGGGCCTATTTATGAACTCGTTGTCTTTGCTCAGAAGGGCCTCCTTCACGGCCTCATGGCCAACCAGCACGACGACTTTCCGCGAACCAAAGTGGAGTGTGTAGACTGGACCATACGTTTTGGAAAGCTGCAATGGAAAGCACCAATGCTATGGCATACAACAGTAGACCTGGCATTTGCTAAGAGCAGAGGATAGAAATCATGTGATCCTATGGGCCAGGCTATAGTACAGCTGGTAAATCACCACCACCAGCAATAAGATCTACCAGCTGAAAGGTTGCAGATTTGAAGCCTGGGTCGGAGTGAGCACCTGACAGTCAGCCCAGTTCACTGTTTACCTAAGCAGTTCAAAAACAACTTAGAGCTGTAAGAAGAGAAATTAGGTACCGCTAAAAAGTGGGGCAGGTATTTTATAACACCATAAAAGAAAAACCCAGAAAATGCTGGTGACCAAACGGAAGGAGGAAGTCCTGATGGCTCTTCGTCGTAGATGATGGAGTAACAGCACCCCCCCTGTGGCTGGATTTGAGCACAACCTCCAAAGGTGCGAAAAAGCTGGACATTGACACAACATACCTTTCTGTCTGTTCTGTCCTGTTTGTCCAAACGGCATTGGAGGTTTGCCGTGTATGTGTACTATGATCCGCCCTGAGTCCCCTTGGGGAGATAGGGTGGAATATAATGAGACGCTAGTGAGTTGTTTATTGATGTTTATTTATGGTTATTGATGTTAATTGCTTAGTGTATTATTGTGTTAATTGTTTTTTAAATGGCTGTATGATGTTTGCATTGAATTTTTGCCGCTGCTTGTTGTTAACTGCTCTGAGTCACCTAATGGCTGAGAAGAGCGGTATACAAATAAAGTAAATAAAGTAAATAAATAAATATAAATAACGTGTTAGTGTTGTTGTTGTTGTTGTTGTTGTTGTTATCCTCCAGATGCTCTAGGACAGTGGCTTTCAACCTTTTCCAAGTCACAGTCCCATTTCATAGGGTTACTTGCAACCCCAACACATTAAAAATAGGCTTTTTAATACGGTAAATGCAAACACATCAAAATTAGATTTTAGTATAATATAATTAGAAATAATGTTAACTTATGACATATTTAATGCAGTGATGGAAACTGTAGCTCATGAACAAGCTTAAAAATTCCCAGTTTCAGTTTTCGTTAATGCCATTGGGTTTTCAATTGGAAAAGCGTTGAAAATCTGCTCTCACAAAAATATGTAGAAACAAAGGGGAGTAAAACTTGAAAAACAAGCATGGTGACATTTGGATATGACCGATACATAGCACACCAGAACTGAGTCAGAAGTTTTCATCAAATAAGCTGCATGCAGAGGAATCATTCCGCACAACCAAGAATTCATCTTGTACTTCATTTAGGATGCTGGCGACATCAAAGGAAGCATGAATGCATAACTTCTAACCATCCTGAATTGTCAAAGTCAGTCCTGATTGATCCTGAGATTAAGCAAAGACCGACGGCTGATTTGTAGTGCCCCAGATGGCCACAAGAGGACACCAAAATAGTTTCTGAAATACTGTATTATACTGTTATTTTGGTTTATGATACTTTGCAGTCATGATACAATAATTCCTAGCACAATCCAACTGGTATATGAGAAGGAGTGGAGTTGGAGAAAGACAGAGATATAGTGACCAATGCTGCAATTCTAGGAGAGAGAAAAAAACGGTGCTGCAAATGCTGCCTTTTCCCAAAGCCATCACAACCTTAATTTCCGACTTAAGCCAACCCTAAAGCGGACACTATCATGGGGTTTTCTTAGCAAGAGTTGGTCAGAGGGTTTGTGCTTCCCATTCTCTGAGACTGAGAGAATAGGACTTGCCCAGTGGGTTTCCCAGCTAAGTGGAGATTGAACCTTTATCTTCACAATCACAGTCCTACACCCAAACCACATCAACTTTCTTGTGTCTAGATCAGACATGGGCAAACTTGGGCCCTCCAGGTGTTTTGGACTTCAACTTACATTCAACTCCTAACAGGCTCAGGCACATTCCTTTCCCCCTTCAGCCGCATAAGCAGCTGGGGGGGAAAAGGAAGGGCCCTGAGGTTGTTAGGAATTGTGGGAGTTGGAGTCCAAAACACCTGGAGGGCTCAAGTTTGCCCATGCCTGGACTAGATCACAAGAGGTCATGGTGCCGTCTATTCTGCTTTCATCAATCCTCAGCTGGAATACTAACCCTGTGTCCAATTCTGGGCACCACAGTTTAAGAGACATTGATTGTAAATTGGAAGGGTCCAGAGAAAGGCAAATAAATGATCAAAGACCACGCGTCTCTCTGAGAAGCAGCTTAAAGAGATGGGGATGTTTAGCCTGCAGAAGAGAAGGTTGAGAGGAGACATGATCACTACATTTGAGTATCTGAAAGGCTGTCATAAGGAAGAGGGAGCAGGCTTGTTTTCTGCTGCCCTGGAGACTAGGACTCAAATGAGAGGAAAGGAGATTCTACCTCAGCATTAGGAAGAATTTCCTGAGCTGTTCAGCAGGGGAACTCTCTGCCTCAGGGTTCTGTGTAAGCTCCTTCTTTGGAGGCTTTTTGAACAGAAGCTGGATGGCCATCTGCTGTGGGTGCTTTCATTCTCCTTTTCCTGCCTTGCAGAATGGTGTTGGACCAGATAATTCTTCTTCTATGCTGTTAAAACTATGATCCTTTTTGATGAAAATGGCACACACACTAATATATCCTGGGTTTCATGTTGTCATTTGGGATTAGATGCAACCAGAAATTAGGGAACTCACAATACAGTTGAAGGCTGCTATACAATGCCATGTTTGGCTTGATCCTGAGGTTTGCCTGCAACATTCTGCATTATTTTAAAAGTATTGCAAGAGTACTGCAAGGACGTGTAACAGACTTGGCTTCAAACTACAAGAAAGGAGATTCCATCTGAACATTAGGAAGAACTTTCTAACTGTGAGAATCATTCAGCAGTGGAACTTTCTGCTCCGGAATGTGGTCGAGGCTCCTTCTTTGGAGGCTTTTAAGCAGAGGTTGGATGGTCTTCTGTCAGGGGTGCTTTGAATGCAATTTTCCTGCTTCTTGGCAGAAAGGGGTTGGACTGGATGGCCCACAAGGTCTCTTCCAACTCTTTGATTCTATGATTCTACAGGCCTTCTCTCAAGCTGAGTATGGCTACTGATGTCTGTCTGTCTGTCTGTCCTTCAAATAAGAATTCTGCCCCTGTGAAACTATCTAAGCTACCAGGTAGCAACAGCTTAAAGCTCCAGCAATAAAATTGTAGGAAGAGTTTTGGGGTCAGGAGAAAAGAGAGCAGACAAAGTGACCGAGGGAATGCAAACACTGCAAACGTAAATCAATTTTTTAAAATCTAGATGTGAATAATGTCTGCTATCTCCTTGTCTAAAACGCTAGAGATTGGCTGACTGGAGGAAAGTTTTATTTGGAGTTCCAAAGAAGGAGCCTCGACCACATTCCGGAGCAGAAAGTTCCACTGCTGAATGATTCTCACAGTTAGAAAGTTCTTCCTAATGTTCAGATGGAATCTCCTTTCTTGCAGTTTGAAGCCAAGTCTGTTACACGTCCTTGCAGTACTCTTGCAATACTTTTAAAATAATGCAGAATGTTGGAGGAGCAAAATGCTATCCGCATGATGCACACGTTCCACAGCTAGCCCACTCCCCTTCTTGAATGTCCCACATGGCTCAAGGAATTTAGCATTTTAATATGTACACTGACATCACGATGAGGGAAAACAATATCCAGAAGTTGTGTTGAGGAAAATGACATAAGTCATCCATGCTAAAAACAGAGGGGCTGTAAAGCAGAATTCACCTCCGCCCCATACTCCTTACCTTTATAAATGATACATCTTGCCTTGTAATGTCCAGCAAATGCAAGTTGCCAATGATGGGGAGTGCAGAAGGACCAGGAGGCATGTGCAGAGAAGACTTCCCAGGGCTGCGGAAAAACCAGAAGGTCACCAAAAGCAGCAACACAAGCAACAAAGCCATGGTCCCTGAGCTAGAAAGTGCCGAAGCCCAAGGAGCCATGTTGAGCCAAGTTTTAATGGAGTGGAAGGATTATGCAATGGGCGCTGAAGAGATTGTGCTCATTCTATGCGTGCTTTGCCTCCCCACGTTGTTAGGCATTGCATAATCTAAAAGATCTATATCCGCTCCTCTTTAGCACACCTCCCTCAAGCTAAGAGGGCAGATCTTCTCCAAATGTTCATAGACAAATCATGTTGTCACTTGAAGGAGGGGCTGGCCGCGTTTTTGGAAATTTAGTCAGTTACTAGAAATTTGTACTGGAAGCCCTATTTTGGAGGGAAGAATTTGGAAAAGCAAATTTCAAAGGGTTGTCTAAGAAAACCCTCTGAAATTCGTGGTGTTAATAGGTAACTTGAAGGCACACAAACACACCTTTTGAAGAGGAAATCAAGAGATTAGATTCACTTTCCAAGGGAAGTGAAGGAATATATCACACAGGTCTGTTTTCCTATGGCAATTCCGCTGTTTAAGCAAACAGAAACATGCATTTTTGGAAACAATCTCTTTCACTTCTCAGTTCAATTGTGCAATGCTGACATGTTAGTGATGTGACTTCCCAGTGTCTTCCTACCCATATTTGTCCTATGCGGTGTGCGCATACTGGGTTTCCCCCATTTTTCTTTATTTTCCTCCCTATTTTGCCACAGTTGCGCTTTTGTACAATTTTGACATTGTTGCAGGACATTCCTCTGCTTTGCAATAACGAAACAATAGCCGAAGGAAATTATTGCACAGGGAGAAGCAACGGAACCACAAAATTGGACTCTTTGACAGGTTTTTCTTGTTAATGAGGCAATCCAATCATGATCCAAGCTAAATGGGAATACGGGGCAATCCCATATCACCAGTATTTTTTATCGTGCTGCAATTGCGCTTTAGCAGCATCGTGTGATAAATCCCACAATCTCTAATGACAAACTAGATGATAGTGGTGAATCCCACTACTTCTTATAAAGAGCTCAGAGCACTTCATTCATTGATGGTATCTCTGGGCAGTATCCAAAATGCAGACGTAACCTGAGGAAAAACATTCTGAACAGAGATCAACAAAATTTTAAAATAAAAGTAACTAGCTGTGCCCTGCCACGCGTTGCTGTGGCCTATAGTAAAACTTATCAAAGTTGAGGTAGATATCTGGACTATTATGAAAGAGGTACCTACCTATTCCTTCCCCCTTTTCCTCCCCCTTTCTCTCCTTTCTTCCTTCTCTACCTCTTTCTTTCTTTCCTTCTTTCACTACTTGGTTTCATCCTTCTCTCTTTCCTTCATTCCCTCCCCCTTTCTTCCTTTGCCTTTCTTCCCTCCCTGTTTGCTTCCTTCTTTCACTTTTTATTTCCTTTTATTTTACCACCATCATAACAATAACAATAATGCAATGCATTGCCTCTGGGACCTGACACCTCTCCCATTCCTCCAGGGTCTCATAGGAACAATAGCATAATAATAATAATAATAATAGAAATAACAACCTTTACCCGCCACGTGTTGCTGTGGCCAATCTTCCCACTTTCTCTCCTTCTTTCCCTCCTTCCTTCCCTCCCATCTTTCCTTCTCTTCTTCTGTGTCTATCTCTTTCCTTCCTTCCCCCTTTTTCTTTCTTTTCTGCTGTCTCTCTTTTCTTTCCTTCCATCTTTCCTTTCTTTTTCTTCTTCCTTCTTCTCTCTTTTTCTTCCCTTTTTCTTTCTCCCTTTCCTCCTTTCTTCCTTCTTTCCTTCCTTTCCTGTCTTTCCTAGATTTTGACAGGGCGGGAGCGGGGTGGGGTTTGGAGGTGGCGTGAAGTAAAAGGAGGTAAGATTGGGGAGGGGGAGTGATGGAGCGTGGGGTTGCGTGTGTGTGTGCGGCGGCGGGGGAGTGATGGAGCGTGGGGTTGCGTGTGTGTGTGCGGCGGCGGGGGGAGGGGGGGTGCGTGTGTGTGTGCGGCGGCGGGGGGGGTGGAGGTGGGGCGGGGGGGGGGAGTGATGGAGCGTGGGGTTGCGTGTGTGTGTGCGGCGGCGGAGGGAGTGATGGAGCGTGGGGTTGCGTGTGTGTGTGCGGCGGTGGGAGAGTGATGGAGCGTGGGGTTGCGTGTGTGTGTGCGGCGGCAGGGGGAGTGATGGAGCGTGGGGTTGCGTGTGTGTGTGTGTGGCAGTGGGGTGAGTGATGGAGCAGATCAGGCCTAGAGGTGACGCGTGTGATCGTTGTTCGGCACCCACTAAAGAGAGACAGGCTGTGTGTGTGCGGCGGCGGGGGAGTGGGGTTGCGTGTGTGCGTGCGGCAGCGGGGGGAAGTGATGGAGTGTGGGGTTGCGTGTGTGTGTGCGGCGGCGGGGGGAGTGGGGTTGCGTGTGTGTGTGCGGCGGCGGGGGGAGTGATGGAGTGTGGGGTTGTGTGTGTGTGTGCGGCAGGGGTGTGTGTGTGTGCGGGAAGCGGCGCGGCGGGGCTTGGAGTGGGCATGGTTTCCGCAGAGGGAACGTTGGCCAGAAGGGCATGTGCGCGCGCCAGGGAACTTGCGGCTGGGCGCCAATGCGCATGCTCAGTTGTTTTGCCGTTTTGTGAGTGTGTTGTTGTGTTGTTTTTCATTTTGAGTAGATATGTTTGTACCTTGTGGGTTGTGTTATGGGCATCGGAATTTTGGTTAAGTTTCGTTGGGGGATTTTTGAGTTTTGTTGTTTTGCCGTTTTGTGAGTGTGTTGTTGTGTTGTTTTTCATTTTGAGTAGATATGTTTGTACCTTGTGGGTTGTGTTATGGGCATGGGAATTTTGGTTAAGTTTCGTTGGGGGTTTTTGAGTTTTGTTGTTTTGCCGTTTTGTGAGTGTGTTGTTGTGTTGTTTTTCATTTTGAGTAGATATGTTTGTACCTTGTGGGTGTGTTATGGGCATGGGAATTTTGGTTAAGTTTCGTTGGGGTTTTTTTGAGTTTTGTTGTTTTGCCGTTTTGTGAGTGTGTTGTTGTGTTGTTTTTCATTTTGAGTAGATATGTTTGTACCTTGTGGGTTGTGTTATAGGCATGGGAATTTTGGTTAAGTTTCGTTGGGGTTTTTTTGAGTTTTGTTGTTTTGCCGTTTTGAGTGTGTTGTTGTGTTGTTTTTCATTTTGAGTAGATATGTTTGTACCTTGTGGGTTGTGTTATGAGCATGGGAATTTTGGTTAAGTTTCGTTGGGTTTTTTAGAGTTTTATTCTTTCGCCGTTTTGTGAGTGTGTTGTTGTGTTGTTTTTCATTTTGAGTAGATATGTTTGTACCTTGTGGGTTGTGTTATGGGCATGGGAATTTTGGTTAAGTTTCGTTGGGGGTTTTTGAGTTTTGTTGTTTTGTCGTTTTGTGAGTGTGTTGTTGTGTTGTTTTTCATTTTGAGTAGATATGTTTGTACCTTGTGGGTTGTGTTATGGGCATGGGAATTTTGGTTAAGTTTCGTTGGGGGATTTTTGAGTTTTGTTGTTTTGCCGTTTTGTGAGTGTGTTGTTGTGTTGTTTCATTTTGAGTAGATATGTTTGTACCTTGTGGGTTGTGTTATGGGCATGGGAATTTTGGTTAAGTTTCGTTGGGGGATTTTTTGAGTTTTGTTGTTTTGCCGTTTTGTGAGTGTGTTGTTGTGTTGTTTTTCATTTTGAGTAGATATGTTTGTACCTTGTGGGTTGTGTTATGGGCATGGGAATTTTGGTTAAGTTTCGTTGGGGGGTTTTTGAGTTTTGTTTCCTCGTTGGATGCCCCTAACAAATTTATATATATAGATGGTGATTACCACCAGAGGCTCAAACAGGCATTTGAGAGGGGAAAATGAGGGCATTATTCTCCAAAGATTTCAACTTTCTTCAGTTCTCGTTCACTCCTCAAGCATTTGTCACAGAAGAGAACAAAAGGTGGAAATTGCCCATGCAGAGATCTATTTGCTGTATTTGTCTTCCCTTGCTATCAGTTAACCTGCCCTTGTTTTTTCAACGCCTCTAGTGTATTTCTAAAGGATTAACTTCTGCAATGCTTAAAATCTGGAGATTTGTTCAGGGGTAGGATTCTTACTTAGGTTTGGGACCTTCAGAAAGAAAGTTCAACAACTTTGAAGGTCACCATCAACTCCTTGAGTTCAGTCCACAAACAAATGGACAGCACTCTGCATAAGAAGCTTTTGGGACTAAACATTATTCCTCCACCTTCCTTTATCTTTCTGGCTGTTTTCCTTGCCCTGAATTTCAGCCAGACTTGGTTTTTTGCATTCTTTGCTGGCTCCTCAAATGGGCACATTGCAGACTTTATTGTGCAGGTCATTTTGCCCAAAGGTACTAAGAAACAAGCCTTTCCACTTTCAAGGCACTAAACGGCCTCTCTCTCTAAAAATCAGACCTATGCGGTATTTCATACAAAAAAATCTTTTCAAACAATATGGGACATTCATTCTCAGAAAATGGACCATCTTTCCTCCATGGACTTATGTTTGTGCAAAAAGACAATATACATGAAACATACATCTTGTTTGACAGAGCGCAGATCTACACTGCCACGGAGATCAGTTTCAAACCAGCATAGAAGAAAACAGTTTGACTGTACGGATGATTAGGTTATAAATTCAGGAAAAAGGTTTGAAAACATTCAAACCACACAGTCTGTCTTCGAACAGGTTCCAGGATCCACAGTTTCCACAGCTTCACAGCCATGAAAATTGTGTTTTCTTTTCAACTCTCCCTTCAAGCATGTGGAGTGCTTTGGGTGTCTGCACTGCAGACCCGATTTTGCCTTGCAACGTGGCTAACATTGGAACATGCTTTTGTGTGTGTGTATGTGTCAGGAGTGACTTGTGAAACTGCAAGTTGCTTCTGGTGTGGGAGAATTGGCCGTCTGCAAGGACGTTGCCCAGGGGACGCCCGGATGTTTTGATATTTTATCATCCTTGTGGGAGGCTTCTCTCATGTTCCCACATGGGGAGCTGGAGCTGATAG